CTTCAGCTGTGGCACCCTGCTCACGATAACAGCAAATTCATAAATATCAACCTGAATTACACAGCCTTTTTCTTAATGGATTTTTGAGAAGCAAAATGTACGAGCAGTGTGACCAAAGTACAGGTTCAAGCATTCACACAGGCCCTGCATGCCACTTATCTTCTGGGGGCACGTACAGCTGTGGGTTTATCTAAAACACCTGGTTTCAGATAGGCAAGGGCTTTTCATTTCTAAAGGCACCCTCCAGGATCAACATCAGCCCAGTTAAAATAATGATAACAAAAAAAAAAAGCAAATATGCCAATGTTTGTCTTGAAAACCCTCCAGAAAAACAAAATCTCTGTGGCCTAAATCTAAGCTGCAGGTGCAATGCATGTATCTGGGTAGTGTGGGGTCTTCAGCTTCATTTGCTGATTGACTAAATGCTCTTGCAGGGGCAGGGATGGAAACCCACACCTGTGGCAGGACTTTTGGCATGGACCTGTGGCTTGATCTGTGCAGCCTGAAAACCAGAGGAGGCTGGAGTCTGTATTTATGCCAGAGCCCAGCAGCAGGACAGGAAGGAACAGGCTGACTCAAAGTGCTCCCACTCAGAGCTGCAGGAGTTACAGCTGGGTTTCCATGCCTTGGCCACCTCCTGGGATGGCAGCACCACTCCAACCACCACCACCACCACCACCAGAGGTGCTCAGACCACACCAAGATGGTTAGTTAACTCCTCAACCCCTGGAGGGATCATGCATTCATAATTAAGAACTGCAACTTTTCCTGGCTTTTCTTCCCTGAAATTCCCCAAACTGAACCTGCTTGCTCTTACAGAGCAGTGTGGTTATCAAACACTGGTTTGGCACACTGGCAGCCCAAGTGAATGAAATAGCAAGGAAACTTCCTAATAGTGAAGAGCTTCAGAAGAAATTGGAAGAAAAGTGGAGAAAGTTATAATTAACAAAGCAACAGAAGTTAATCACCTCACCTTTCCATGGTCTTCAAATAAAAGAGATATAAAGCAAACAAAGTAATAGAAAATAAACCAAGAAATCCCAAGCATGCTATGAGCAGCTGGGAAACAATCATCTTTGGATGTCACGGTGCAATGAGCTGGGCACCGTGTTCCACAGAATAAATCATGCTGTAAGAACAAGCAGCTTGTGACTCGCTGGATAAAACATGAGTTTTAGAAAACTCACTTTATTGAGTGACTCAGTGCAGAGCAAGCCACGCTAATTCCCTGAAATCAGGGCTTTGGTGCCCTGTCCCCTAGGCAGTGTCACTGTGATGAGCTACTCAGAACTGCTTTGAAAATAAACAAGTTTCAAGTTGTTTTGCTTTTTACATTCAAGGCAACAGTTAAGAGTAAGTGTGAGAGGAGATGAATGCACGGTTTGGGTGTTTTAATAAGCTTTTTCTTTCATGTTGCTTGGCAATTAAATCGATGGAGATGTACATATGTTCCTGCTCTGCCTGGGGTATCACTCAGTCCATCTGAACTCTGCCCTGCAGCTCTGTTTTTTTCAACATGAGAGTAGATTTTAGGCAAAGAAAATAAACCTCTTTCCTCAGGGTTAATTTGATCTTGTGGGTTTGTTGCTCGTCTTTAAATAAATTTGAATAAGCCCACATCATTTGCACATAAGCCCTACACAAACACAAGCAGAAATTACAGCTCTGTGACCTGCCAGGCTGCAGCACATCCCACTGCAAGCCAGGGATGCCACACCAGTCTGACTCCTGGAGATGCTGCTGCCAGACCAGGCGGGTGACAAAGCTGAAACACTTTTGAAAAGGGCAGTTTTAGTACCAGGCTCTCATTCTCCCATAGCACCTGCAAGGGGATGATTTATTAAAAAAATATGGATATTGATCTAGTATCGATATCCAACTGTGACGGACAAAAACTCTCTAACAGGTTAAAGTTAGAAAGTGTATGTTTATTCTATGCTGGGCAGCGTGCAGGATAGCTCCCAAATCCACACCGCAGCTTCCAGGTGATTACAGAGCCCTTTTATCCATACAAGTATTGAATACCCAAAATACAAATACATATTCATAATTTTGGTACATCCCATTCCCTGCTTCGTATGCTGATCACTCCAAAAGCTATTAAGCATGCATAGTTTGTTCCTTGAAATAAGGGGAATGTCCCTTTTATGGGGAGGGGTCCCAAAATGAGGAAGTCAATGAAGTCTTCCTCGTTCTGACCTTTCTACCTTTTCATTGCCAATATGACAAATGAACTCTTGGTAGAACTCCCATTCCTTGTCTTCAATTGGTTTCAGAACAGAGGAGGCCCACAATTGTCTTATGTTCCTAAAAGCAATTTGTCAGTTTCTATATTCTTCATTATAAACCCAGATAACTAAACATTGTGCTGACAAGCAATTAATTATTAGTTAACTACTAACTCCTAACTTCATCAAGGCCTACTCATTTATTATTCTTATTTTAATTAACTCTAGTAAGGCTTATTTCTAACTAAAATCTTAGCTCCTCAAAATCTCTAAATGCCTTAAAGTTTACGTTTCGGGGACAGAAGAGAAACTTGACTGGTGCAGGGCAGGACTCCCAATGCCTCCATCCCTGAGATGCGCTGAGCTGCGCTGCCTGCACAGCCCTGGGGACACCAAGCCACGCAGGCAGCCCCCCTGGCAGGGCAGGGCTGTGCCTCTGGGCTCTATAAGCAGCTTCCCTGGAGCACAGTGCTCCATCTGTGTCCTCCTGGCCTCCAGGAAAACGCCGCTCGCTCGGCAGGCACGGGGAGCCGGCTGCGGAAATACCGGCGGCACCGCAGGCGTGGGGAGCTGGAGCTGCTCTTTGCACAGAGCTCCAAGAAGCCCTGAAAGCCAGGCTGTGCAGGAGCACACACAATGAACAAGGGCAGGCCCACAGCTCACCTCCCTCACTGCGCTCCCTGCACGCTCCCTGCACCGGGCGCTGCCTCCTGAGAGCCACACTCAGGCACACAGGAGGGCTGTGTGAGGGACATGCTTAGAGAACTGCCCAAAAATCAGTCCTGAAATGGCCAGGAATAAATGCTTTCTGTCAGTGAGGGCACTGCCTGGCACGTAGAGGACTTCATGCCTCTTGCAGTGTCATGAGCAGAAAGAGAGCACAAAGAATTTCCACATTAACCAGCCAAAGAGAGATTCCTGCACACCAAGACTCTGGTCCTCACACAAGGCAGAATTAAGGTACCATGCTAATTATTAAGGACAACACATGTAAAAAAAAAGCAAATTAAAAAAAAGTTTTCTTCTTTACACTTTACCATATTGTCAGTTAATAAATAGGTGAGCAATTAAAGCATCCTCAAACCAGATTCAAACTCCAGAGAGCATTATTCAAGCTGAATTTAGGATTTAAATCCTGGGCTTCTAGTTATTAAATTTGCAAAATGAGGAGCACTGTCAAATAACACAATGGTCCAGCTCATAACAGCTGGCATTGCTGTGCCTTTCCAAAACTGACAGCTGATCAACATCACCTGCAAAACCCAGCTCTGACATCCCCTCAGCTGGTGAACAAAGCTGGTAACATCCAGCCTCACAAAACCTGGGACAAAGATTAACACACCATGAAACTGTGATAAAACTGAGGTTTTAGTAGCAGCAAGGATTTTGAGGAGTAATAAGGATTCGTAATGGGAGAACAAAGAATGGGGAATAAGAAGGGGCTACAGAAGGATGATCCTACTGCTGTATAAATAGGGATCGTAACAGGATAAATTATTGTGGCTTCATTTTAAAATGGAACACCTTTGGCTGTTGCAGCTACAACAGGTGTCACGACAAATTGTCTGTGGGCACAAAAAAAGGTCAAAGGACCCTGACCAACGTGATATTCTTTGATATAAACTGGAGATGGTTGAAACCAAGAATCTGCTGAGGTTGCAGTTCGGAGAGAGAGCTTCCTTTACACTGTGCAACCACATCTTCCTGGCAAGGAACAGGAAGATCACTAATGGGACATCACCATTTCACCATCACTCCCCAAACCTCTTGTAATTAGCAAAATCACGCCTTTTCTCACTCCATCAGATACCTGGCAGATAAGCACACAAAAATCCGCCTACAACTGTCAAGCTGATAGCATCTGTTTTGACAGGCACGGCACAAAGGTCAGCCACAAACTCGCTTATAAAGGTCATTTTTCCACCCCAGGGTGGAGGCAAAGGAGAGGGATTATTCTGGAAGTTCAGCAATACCTCTCTCCCGTCACAGCAATAAACAGAACTCTCATACACAGCTCAGGGCTCGCACCTCCCCTGCCTGAAATAATCCCTAAGCCACAGGTTTTTGCGTTTCCACAAACGCCCTGCTGCACAGGCACGCTTTGTTCCGTGTGGGTTTGGGTGCATTCCTCCCCGGACAGATTACCACTGTGTCCAAAATGTATCAAATCCATCGGAAAAGTTTATGGCAAACTTAAAAAAAAAAAAAAAAAAAGAAAGAAAGAAAGAAAATCAACCAGCAGAAAGCAGCCCGAAAGACTTACGTCAAGATTTCTTCTGGTTCTGATTTAAAACCTGGAAAACGCACGCACAGCCAGAGAGACCCAGATCTCCCATCCCAGACCAAGGAGCAGGGGAGGGCAGCCGGCGAGCGGAACGCGGCGTCTGGCTGCGGCTGCGATTCGCAATTTTCATTTCTAACTGAGTTTTTAATTTCTGCTGGCTACGATTACTTCGCTTTGCCGTGTGGCTGCGCAGCGATGCTGAGAGCCTGACGGCGGCGGTGAGCGCCTCGCCAGCTCCTTGCCCGGCTGCCAGCGGGGCAGGGGACACCCAAAAGCCCCGAGCGAGGCAGGCGCTGCCCGGAGCTCCGGACCCGCCGGGCACAGGCGCGGGATGCGGCGGAATGCCCAGCGGAGGATGCTCGCAGCGCCCATCCCCAGTGATGGATGGGCTGGCGAACTCCCGAGCGGAGTTCTGGTGCTGCCCGGGGGGAGAAGGACCCGGAGGGATGGCAGGGACCGGCCGCCCCCCTTCCCCGGCGCGTCCCTACCGTGTGCTCGCGGCCCGACATGGTGCGGTGCTGCTGCGGCGGGCCCGGCGGGCCGCGGCTATAAGGGCTGCGGGACACGTAGCGCGGCCCTGGGCCGGCCCCTCTCGCCCTGTGCCCGCCCCCGCCGCCGCCTCCTCCGGCCCGGCCCCCGGGAGAACCGGGCACGGCGTTCCGGGCCCCCGGAGGAGCGCCCGGTGAGCCCCGACCGAGCCGTGCCCTGGAATGAGGCGCTTGGGGCTCTCCTGCCACGGCCGGCGAGAGCAGAGGGAGGAGGAACAGCGGCCCACACAACGCTGCTGGCGAAAATTCACCTCCCGAGGAGGATGATGATGATGATAATGAAAAAAATTATGTTTAAAACCAAGCAGTGCTGGAGGCTGGTCCCTGAGTGTCGGAACTCAAAATGTCCCTCAGACATTTTTAGAGGTTCCAAGCCTTAGTCAGAAGCATTTTAGACCCTAGCAAGCAGCTAAAAACAGCTGTAATCTTGAGTTTAAACCATAGAATGAATTACCAACTTTGAAGGTAGAATAAGCAGTCACAAAGAGTTAGATGGTATAGTAAAAGTAGTCACAAATTAGAGGGTAAAAATTTTTAATATTGTACAGGGGGGTTTTACTTTATACAAAGGAGTCAAGAGTTCTAAAATAGAGGAAAGTGGGCCTGATCCTTTTCTTCCTCCTTCTTCTTCCTTACCTCCATGTTCTTAGTGATGTTGGCATTTTTCTATTAGTTTAAGCTAGAGACACACTATTCAACGTAAATAATAGATATTAGCACATTATTGTAAATATAGTACACGTAATTTCTAGTATATAATGTTTGTACCATCCCACTGAGGGGCAGAGCCCCGCACACTGCCCTGCAGAGCAGACCTGCAGCAGGGCAGCAGAACTTGTTATAGATAAGCAAAAATAAACAACCTTAAAAACAACACAGACAAACTATAGCTTCTTCTTTAGCAACAGGGCAAAAAGACAGAGACTTTCTACAATCTCAAAATCACCAACACCCACAAATTCCAACAAAATACCAACAAAGTTGAAAGGAAACAAAGAGGAGCCTCTCAGCAAATAAAGTGAGGGGAAGAGAAACCCAGTGACTTGGCAGCTTTGCCCCAAATCCTCAGTTTTCCACTGCTGGAAAAGCTCAGGTCCCTGAACTCTGCTGAAACAGGCAGTGTCCTGGTAGAAGGGAAACCAGTACAACCCTGGGATGACCCATGAGCCAGGGAGAGAGAAAGGAAGATCCTGGTAGGTGGGTGAGTAATTCTACATCTGAGGGTGAACGGTGCCATCCAGCACAGCACTTGTCCTCCTGGATCACTGCTTCCTGCTCCATACCCATCCATGGATCCCTCCCAGGGCCACAAGGATGGCTGTGCCAGCTGTGCTGCCTCTCCTCTAGGAGGAGATACCTCACTTCTCATCGTGCCTGCAAGAGCAAATGCTCCCTCCAGGTCCAACATGCTGAGCCTACCTTAACTCTTCAGCACATGATCACCAGCAGTGCATAAAATACTCCTGTTTCATCTCTGTCCTTCATTCCAGCAGAGTTTAAAATCATTGGTGCCCTGACTGAGCCCCGAGTGAAGCCCCTTGAAGGAAAAGGAAAAAGGTGTTGGGATTTTGCAATGCCCCCCCATTCTCCTGATGAACTCTTAAAACAGAAAATAGGAAACCCCAAGAGAACAGTGAAGGCATAAATGGGGTTCCCAAAATGAGGTCTTGCTGCAGGAAGAGCAGGACCCACTGTGGGAAAGCATGGATGTGAAGGAATGGGGCTGGAAGGAGGCAGCAGCACCTGCACAACCAATTCCCAAAGCCAGGCAGCTATTAGAGTGTGATCAGCTATCAGCTCAACTAATCCCCAGTGTAATTCCAGTTAAACCCATGGCATTAAATTCAGGATTAACTCAGCTAAATAATACCAGGGTTGCTTTTGAGCATCACTCATTCCTTGATTTTCCTCATACTGTTTTTCTCAATTAAGGGCAGATTAAATTTCTGCCATAGAAACAACAGAGCAAGGTTGGAAGAACAAGGAAAGAAAGCTGAACAAAATATCCATTGGAAAAGTTCATTTTGGTACATTTAAATTCACATCTTTGGGAATTACCTTGCCTTTCTGAACCTTCAGTAAAGCAGAAGGGTGGAAAAGGTGCCCAACAGACCAAGGCCAGCAGGGAAACACATTTACTGAAGAACAAGGAGCAGGACAAAGGGGATTGTGAAGAAGAAGAGGCACAAAGAGGGGCTTCTGTAACAACAGACCACTCTAAACCACCCTGGCCTGACACACAGGTGGTTCTAGAGAGGGCATTTTTGAAGGTAAACTTTTTTTTTTCATTAAAAGTGAGCTATAGAAAGGAAAGGGGAAAGACAGAAAACTAAGTGTTACAATGTAAAAGAAAAATTAGCATCCAGAGCATGTAACACCTCCATGTTTCCCCTAGATACCCATCAGGGAGACACAAAATGAGTCAACATTATCTCCATTTGTTGCATCATTCTTCACTTCTAACTTCATCAAAGTTATGCCCCTTCTAGGAATTAAACTGACTGCTCATAACCTTCCTGAGAATTCAAGCAAATAAAATTTTATGTATAACAGATCTAAGGGTTTTCCACCTATTTTTTACTCATTTTTCCCAAGCGCAGTGGAAAGAATGGTGTGAACTTTCATTGCATTAAGCTATAATAACTAAATATATTTGGCCATTGTCACAAGTTTTAATTTGTGTTGGGCTTTTCAAAGAAGTAACTGATGAAACAATCAGAAACAAAGCAAGCAAGAAAATAAATCTAGCTGCTTATTTCAAGAGACATAAAAATTAGTGACTCTCAATTTTCATCAAATAACTTCTTGGGCTATTGAACAAGAGCTTCAGCCTCACAAAGCCAGGGAAAGCAGCAGCATCCCAGCAAAGCAGGCAGGGGCTGCCCCTGGATCCCTGGAAGTGCCCAAGGCCAGGTTGGATGGGACTTGGAGCAGCCTGGGACAGTGGAAGGTGTCCCTGCCCACCACACAGGGTGGAATTGGATGACCTTTAAGATCCCTTTCAACTCAAAGCATTCAGTGATTTTATGATTACAAGGAATATTTTAATTTGTGAGGATTCTCAATCTGTTTACAGGAGACTGTTGTTCCTCTCCTTACTGGGAAAGACAAAAGGAAGTCATGCCCCTGTGCACTGGGATTCGGCATTTTCCTGCAAAGTCTGTACTGCCCTGACACCCTGATCTCAAAGAAACAATAAATCCCTAGAGAAAAAGCTCTCTCAGGTGCCCATTGTGCAACCTGCTACACTAACAGAGAGCAGAATCTATGTATAACTCCCCCAAACAGGCCCAGCAAGCAGCTGCTTGTGAGCCATTTGCTCCATCCATCTTCCCCATTCCAAATCACCTTCTTAGCCCAAATTCCTATCCTATCCCAAATTGCCCCAAAGCACCAAGGCTCACGTCAGCGTTTGCGAGCTGGCCACGAGCAGTGGGACACCTTCACCAACACCTTCTGCCACCTGCCAGGCAGCAGAGGTGGAAATGAAGAGGCCACATCCCTCCTGCTCTGAGCTGCCAGCCCCAGAAGCGCTGCAGCCTCTGGGCAAGGGCCATGGAAGGGGAGGGCTGTGCCTGGCAGAGCTCTCCCATGTGGAAGGTACAGGGGGGAGCTCACTGGCTCTGAAGCTGCACAACTATCCTCAGAAATCCTTGCAGGAATTCCCTTATTTGATGACTGCAAGGTGGAAATGCACTCCACTACTTCCTGCACTCGAACTACTCCTCTGCTGCTGCCTCTGCTTTTGTTAATTTGCTTTCCAAGCACTGGGGAACCTGCAGATCAAGGTTCAGTGCCTTCCTTATTTTTTCAAGTGATGGAGACACCGTTGTTGCCTTCAGCACCATTTCTTCTCAGATTCTCTGGCTTTGTTTTTCCAAAGTGCCAGGAGAAGCTGTCACTCAGTTAATGGAGCATCCTGCAGTCACTGGGAGTGTGACAAATTCTGTTCATCCTGTCCCCAGTGCATTAGGCACCTTTGAAATCTGAATGTTCCCCAAATGAACACACGTAACTCCTCTGGCATCAGCCTGCAGAGATACCAGAGATACTGAACTGCCCCAACAAGCACTTCCAGCTTATCCACCTCACCTTTTACCCTCTGCACAACGGGAGTTGAATTCTGTGCATAAGTCAAGGGTGGATCTGCAGCCCTAAAGCCTCACTTGTGAAATGTCAAATCAGAAATAAGCTATGAAAGCAAAGCACAGATTGCTGGAAGCACCAGAGATCCCAGGTTAGGGCATTATCTCCTGGAGTCAGCAATCAGGACTTTAATGAGAACAGGAAACATTTTTCCTTTCCTTGTTCTATAATTCAAACGGGATCATCCCCAACTTTCAGAAAGCTGGTTGAGAGAACAAGAGCTCCAGAAGTGACAGGAAATCAGCCACTGAAGCCTCCAGCACTGGCAACACCCACTGCAGCTGGGGACTGCTACAGCCAGAAACTGAGTTCCAAACCAGTTTGCCAGGATTTCACAATGAGAGAGAGAAGCCCAAGCCAGGAACAAGCTCTGCACCTACTTGGGTCTTCTCAAAGTGCTGCAGAGCTCACTTTAAACAACCCAGGCCAGGTTTTTAATGCCCCAGTGACACAACCACTCCTGCTCCCCAGCAGATCTTGCTTTCCCACACACCCTCTGCGCTGCACTGGCAGTTCTGAGGTTCCCAGTGCAACTGGTCCAGCCTTGGGGATGGCATCTCACACATACCAAATCCCCATAATCATTAGGGAAATGGTAAAAATGCAAAATAATCAATCCTACAGCTGCTTCTGTCACTTTCATTTTTAGGGTGGGTACAAACACATCCTGTCCTCTGAGCACTGCTCAGCACAGCATCCCAGGGTGGCTGAGGCTGGAGGAGCCGAGTGGGCAGCTGGTGGCACCTCCCTGCTCCAGCAGGGCCATCCCAGAGCCCAGGGCACAGCATTGTGTGCACACAGCTCTGCCCCAGCCCCAGGGAGGAGAGCCCCCAGGCTCTGTGCACAATGTGCTCAGGGCTGGCACTGCCCAGGGAAGAAGTTGTGCCTCCTGTGCAGGGGGAACTGCTGGCC